TCTCTCTCTCTCTCTCTCTCTCTCTCTCTCTCTCTCCTGCTGCTGCTGCTTGTTCCTCTTCATCTCCTCCTTTGCTTCTAATTCTTCTTTATCTTCTTCTCCTCTTGCTTATTTATTATCTCTATTAGTAGATTATTTACTGGTTTATGTGTGAGTCGTATTTGAGTAAATTAATCAGTCATATGTGAATGAATGCATCAACAAATGCAGTACTGACTGAAAAAAATTAGAACGAACAGATGCATGAATGAGGTTTTTGTGAATTGCCATTTGTTAATTGTATATGAATAAATTAGATAGCAAATGTAGTAATGATTGAATGCAGTTATGAATGAATGAACGTGTGCGTGGATGCAAATTTTGCATGCAAGGGCGTCCTCGTTACATAGAAATTGTTTTGTGCGTTGCCTTGCTGATGTGTTTTTCAGGTGCTGGATAAGATGCATGCACGTGCAAGAGGTCCGAGGGTTGTTTTGACAAGGCAGCCGACAGAAGGAAGAAGCAGGGATGGGGGTAAGCCTTAACCCATAAGGTCACCAGGACTCTATGAGTGTGTCGAGGACAACTATGAACAGATTCAGTTAGGGAGTTGCCGAGCCGGGCTTGTTGGCTGGGCGACCAGGCGGGTGCAGCCAGGGGAATGAAAACGGGATGAGAAGTCAGAAAGGTGGGGAGGGGAGGAATTGACCGTCACGCCAGATCTATACTCCCCGCTGGCAGTGGGAATCTGGCCTTATCTTTGAATTTGCTAATGGTTCACCTATAGGGCGTCAGAGGGGTATGAACAGGGTACAAGGAATCTAAAGGGATGTGCCTTTTTTGAATCGTTAACTAGGCTACCAGCCGGGCCACCCGGGTCACCCTCTTTTTCCGGGGGGCCTGGCTGTGCAAGGACCAGGGAAGGTCTCAGCAAACCAAAAAAAAAAAAAAAAAAAAAAAAAAAAAAAAGCCTGATGTTATGCAGAAAAATAAACTGAACAACTTTCTTTTTTCATAAGAAGAAGATCAGTCTTTATTAATATCAGAGCCTGTCTCTTATACACATCTAGATGTGTATAAGAGACAGTTTCTATACTGTATTGGCTAAAGGCTTAAAGCTGTTTTTCTTTGAAATTGAGTGCACTTTCACAACTTGCCAATTTGCTATATATAACAACCAATGCCGAGGCTCA